TCTGCCCATGGGTGGATGCTGCCAAGAGAGAGTATCGTACCGTTGGTTGGCCGTCTCCGTCCGTCCGATCGGAAGCACCCGGAGCCGATTCCCGGTTGATCGCGAGGAGGACTTCCTGGGCTTTTCGTTGATGTTCCCCCTTCAAGATTGCCTGGCGACCCGCTCTGGATATTTTCCCATTTTCACGGATTGTTCATGTCGGCGGTGGTGTTGGCTGGTTCTGTCCCGCTGACCCGGTTCTGCAAAGGATTCTCTTTTCGTCGTATTCATGGTTCATTGTCTAGTTTCTACTCCTTCTTATTGCTGTTCCCATGGTCAGAACCTGCCGCCATTTTCAAACCTTCGAGTATCTTTTCCGCTTCTACTTATTGGGGTGTTTCAATCTCGGCGCGTTGGCTTCTCAGTGCTGCTGGATCTTGGAAGTTTTGGAGCAGGCATGGTCTTGTGCAGGGGGCCTTTTTCTCGTCTATGGGTCCCAGGTTGATGAGTGTTTTGGCATTCGTCCTGAAGGAGGCTCAGGTACGATCCCTGCCCCTCGGGACTGTCCTTCTGCATTGGATCCGATATTGTTTGTGTTGCTGATTCCCGGCATTGGTGATAGTTGTTGGAACCATGACTCGTCAATCTGGTGCTGTCATCTTCGTTTTGGTGATCATGAACGCTCTTGGAGCTGTTTTCTCGAGACAGAGCAAAGCTCTTGGACGAGGGGACGCGTTCCAGGGAAGTATTCATTCTATCATTTGCTGCTGCAGTTCCCAAAGAGCGGCCAGATTCCTTCTCGATGTGGTCCATTGTGTGACTGCTTCTTCGCCTCCTGCGCTTCTCATCAGCTTATTACAAAGTATAAGTACCATGGAACAGCGGCATCCGCCATCCGGCGACCAAGAAGGAACATACGGTACTGGTAGGTGCTGACCCATCGGTACCGGTCGCGCTGCGAGTGGCATTCGAAAGGCCTTTTTGTTTACATTACAGTCGTACATGGTCATTGGAGTAAGAAGTACTAATAAGAAGTAAGAGTCACTCAGTCTCCGTGGACTGAGACTCTGTAGAGGAACGCCCTTCCACCAACAAGTGCGAACCTGGAACGAGAGCGAGCCCGGCCGGATGAGACCTAAATGGAAATCCGTTAGGATTGACATTTAGGTCGAAGCCGGCCGGGCGAGCTCTCGTGACAGGTGAGCACAGGGGGAGGAAGGGCGTATCTTCTGGAACCATGTGACAATTTCACCTAAGTAATTTAACGTCCGTTACAGTAACTAACGGCACTTCCTAAGTAATCAAATTGTGAGTGTTTTCAGGTCACAACTCCAACACGGTGCAATTTAAGCTGCCAAACCAACCAAAACACGAACCACGGTAAGTCATGCCCCAGTCGAAGCAACAACAACAACAGCAACCAACCGACCGACCAATCAACCAACCTGCACCATGACAATGGGAGGAGTCCTCGCGGCGTTTGAGCAACAACACTCATTAGTAGCATTGACAAGCCCTCGCGGCGATCGACAAGACTCATTAGTAGAAGAACAACAAAAAGCCCTCAAGGCGTGGAAGCCATGAAGCGATCGGTCGATCTACCACTGCAAGCCCCCGAGCGATCACCCAAAGAAAAGAAGGAGTTGTAGCAGTAGTAGTAGCAGTAGCAGTAGCGGACCGACCGAATGAACCACTAAATGATCAACCAACTCGTCGACCGATGGATTGGTTGCTGCAGCTGTTGTTGTTGTGGTCGTTGTTGCCGTTGCCAGGAACACGAACCGTGGTAAAACATGCTTCGTTCCAGTGTTTGCAGCCAAATTTGCAGCCATCGATCGAGTACTAAAATGCCTATAGTAAAAACAGTCGTGTTTGCTTCTCAACTTCAACCTGTCGTAGAATTACTACTAGTAGAGTCTACACGTATTCTCCAAAATAATTGGAGCATGGTTCCCAGCCACAACCTCGCTTTTAAGCCAATCTAGCTACCTCCTATTTTTTATTTTTTTTAAAAGGCTACCATACCAGGTACCTCCGAGCACGACTTGTCCACCGTGCCGCTACCCTTTACAAACCGATAACCTCCACAAATATTGGGGCGGAGAGAGTTGGCAATCTAGCTACTAGCTAGCTAGTAAAGGGTGGTTTAGAGTAGGTAGATTATCTACCAAAGCCAGCTAGCTGGGGGCAGGTTTAAGCAAAGAACAGCCGAAATTCTGGTTCTGTGGGGTCAGGGGCGAGAACTGAGGACCATTTTGGGGGCCAAAGGCTTTGCCCTTGCGGGTGCCACGGAGACATAAATTCTAGCTAGTAGGTGGTGCGGCTAGGTACACCTCATTTTGCCGTGTAGGAACGATAGTGCTAGAGTTGGGGAACAGTGCGGGGTTGGTGCTATCTACCGGTACGACTGTAGTGCACCAACCCAGAGCTGTTGGACCCCAAACACTGGACTGAGCAGCCTGGGTGGGATGGTGGGTTTCTAGTGAAGGGGGCGTCCTTTGGTTGGCTGCTCAGAGCAATGAGTGGAGACTGATTGGCTCTCGATTGACAGTCACTCTCGATTGTGAATGATCCCTGGTAAGCCTGGCTCCAGCTTGCAGTGGCAGCCAGCTTAAGACAGGAGCATTTACGTGTACACTATCCACATTGCTCTGCTTGCTTAGCGTCGTGGTGGGGGCCAAAGGCTACTCCAAGCTCCACTTTTGGACCAGTATCAGATAAATCGCATGAACTAGCTAGATAGATTACAAAACAAGACCCTCATTTCTCAGCTTTCATAGATCAAGTATTGGTGCAGCTACAGTTACACCCACAGAGAACTTTGGAGCAGTCAAAGTTCAATGCTTGTATTCCACGCAGGCCCACTGGAATACTCCCAGACAAGAATGGGTTGTTGGCCAAGTTCAGGACAGTCAACCCCGACAAATTCTCCAGTTCTGTTGGCACTGTCCCGTTGAGAGAAGCGTTGGCAGCCTCCAATACTGCCATGCCACTTAGGAGTCCAATCTCACTAGGTAGTGGTCCCTTTATATCCTGCAGGTTGTTGCAACATCCATTTCATGAGAGGTGAGTGACAAAATGAGGGAAAAGAGATGAAACAGCCATCCAGCCTTGCAAACAAACTTACATTGTTGGAAATGCTCATCAGTTGCATATTCTGTAGCTGCATCAGTTCTGCTGGAATCGTACCATGGAATCGGTTATCCTCTAGCCTCAGTGTAGTAAAATTCCCAGCATGTCCCAAAAAGGTAGGAATGGTGCCCGTAAACATGTTGGAATTCAACGCCAGCCGCACCAGAGCCGTCATGGACTCTAGCTGTGATGGAAGGGAACCTTCCAATTGGTTTTGTGGTAATACCCATAACACCATGTCGGTCAATCTGGCATATTCTGTTGGAATGGTGCCAGTGTACTGGTTGTCTCCCGCTATCATTTCTTTGAGCTTGGATAGGTTGGCCAATTCGGAGGGCAGCTGCCCTGTCATTTGGTTGACATAGGTGCCTAATCCAATCAGATTGGTCATCATGCCCAGCTCGGAAGGAATCGACCCTGTGACTTTGTTGGAAACCCAGTTTATGGCTTCCATTCTCTGTAGTAGACCAATGGAAGACGGAACGGTTCCCTCAATGGAATTGGATAGAATAATCATGGATCGGAGTGATGACAGCCACCCAATTTCGTTGGGCAGCGATCCGTGGAGATTGTTGGAATAGAGTCGAAGGTGTTGGTAAGTTCCATTACTGTAGCAAACTGGCTCTGTGAAATACACAAAAAACGCTGATGCATCCAAATCCCTTCGTGATACTTCAAATGGCACTGTATCCGCTGTATACCATTCGCACTCGTGATGAGTATAACTCAACCAATCGTTGTTTCGAGACCACACGCTGCCAAGTGTGCTGAAGTAGAAAATGGCCAAAGCCATGCGTTGTCGAATTCGCCACGAAGGATACACGTAGTCTACTGTGGCGTTGCTATCGGTAGCAGTGTGGTTCTCCAAAGCTGGGTCCTGAAGAAACCATTCAAATGCCTGGAACTGGGGTGATCCTGGATTGTTCAAGGCAGCCAGTGTGTAGTTGGGCAGAAGACTTTTGAAGTATTCTCTGGTGGACAAAGAAGTTTCAGTAGTGGTTGCTGTTGGGAGTACTGTGGAATTATGAATGTTGTCGTTGATGGCGATTGGGTCTTCATTGGATTCTTCCGGGTTGTTGTTTGCCAGCAATGCAACGAGGAGAATGACCAATGCTACAACAAGGATCAATGTCAAGATGGCTGCCAGCCAAATTTTGTCGTGCGATGATTGTTGAGATCCCTGCTGCTCGTTGTTGTGTGGAATGCCTACTTCTTCGGCCATGGGCAAGTTGTTTGGATTGTCTGTGACTGGATTGGCCACAACCAGTGAATTTGTTGCTACTGGCGTGGTTATTGTTGGAGTCAACCTTGGGTTGAGTGTGGAGAATGTCAGTGGTGAGTTTTGAAAGGATCCCGTGTGATCTGTGGCGAAAGCTCCCGGTATGGCAGTGGCAGATGCTGCGGGTTGTCTTCTCAAGGCAGTCACGCCAGTGGCAGCAACTTCTTCTGCGGTATGGCTTGTGCCTCCGTTGTCTTCTTCTTTGTCTGGCTGTGGCTCTGCTAGTTGGGCTCCTTGAGCTATGGAGATATCTTTCAGTAGAGATGAGGAAGAGCATTCACTGTCCTCGTTGTCGTATTGGTAACGCCTCGGAAGAGTCGCTATTTGTTGGGGCTTAAGGGTTGCTTTGGCTGCTGGCTTCTTGGCGACAACGTCGGGAATCTTTGGATTGTTCTCGTGTTGCTGGATGCTCTCGCCATGGACATTGACAATGTTGTTGTCGTTGTGATGCTTCCCTTTGTCGTTGACGTATTGATGATTCTCATCAGTGCTACTAGCAGTACGACCGTCGAGCACATCTTCGAGCCACGAGTCCACACCTGGCCTCTTCTCGTCTTTGCCATCATTCTTAGTGTTGTCGTCCATGGTACTATTGGCTACGGTACCTCTCGAGCTGTGGATGGTATTGTCTTTCTGTGATCGAGCAGATAGCTTTCCTTCAGCTGTTGCCTGGAGGATGAGCAATGCGCGTTGGGTTACACGTGGTTTTTTCCTCTGGTGCGGGGTGGCACCTGCAATCTTGTGTTGCAAATTTATTTGGTGGCTTATTTGGAGCAGGCTTTCCGGTCCGTAAAAGAAGGCAAGAGAAAGAGTGCTCCTATTTCCTAAAAGTGTCATCCAGTACCGGTATGGTACCGGTGCATTAAAACCGGCAACTGTAATCTGTCTGCACATATGCATGTGTGCTCAGACGCTCAGACGTCCACTAGGGTCTTGGGGCAATAACTGGTATCGATGGCAGTGCTGTCGCTCGGACTGTACAGACGTACGGACTGTACAGGCCCTAATCAGGCCTGTGCCCATCAACCTATCTTTAATTCAATTAACAACTGGCACCACATCGGTTCGAAATGGATGTTTGGACGTTTAAGGTCTGGCCGTGGTAGGGCAACAAATGACAATTCTATGCCTTTATTTGAGCAAATTTGTGTCCAATAGACGAAACGTTTCATTTCCACACCATTTTGGCACAATTTAAAGAAAACCAAGTGTAGCGACGGCCAGACCTTAAACGGCGCTTGAACTGATGTGGCACGTGCAAGGCTAGCTTAGTCACGATTTTCAATCCCGAGACGAAGCCCACTGGCGAAAGCATGCACAAGGACGAACCAACCCCATGCATGAGAAGGAGCAACGGTTTCGAAACTCCCTTGAAATTTTGAGAATCAAGCACCAACCACCAATGACAACAGTGGCGGAAAAAAGAAAGAAGGAAGGTTACATGTAGTATGGCTTGTTGCTGATACATGCAATACAGAAGAAGAAGCGAAAGACTGTTTGGGTACCATCTTCCGGTGAAGAGTGAACGGAACGGACTCATGAAATGGCCGCCCATTCGCTCTTCTAACAACGGCTCGAAGCAGCTGCAAGCAGCACTGGAAAATGGCACCAATTGTCAGACGTTGTGAGAAGAATGGGAACTGACCTTTTGTTCTCGAGCGACCAACAACAGCACCAATGACTTGGTTCTCATGTCGTGCCCATGTCTGTCTTGGTTGCGCATGTCCCAGAGTTTCCACCATTCTTTATAGATAATGCCAATGAGTCCAGTGAGCCATGTGAGTCCATTGTTGCGTTTGGTTGCAGTCTTTTTCATGTTCAAATATCGGTCTTGTTCCTGACTGAATTGTTTAGAGATTGCCCCCTTTAACAGATGATGCCATCCAATGGCATCTTGTGCTTGTTTCAGTGTGTCCCATGAAGGATCGTCTTGGATTGTTGTTGGGCTTTGATGATGTAAACATACTTTGAGGCCTGATAGGAGAAGTCCCAGCACAATTACTGCCCCTGCAGTCCGTCGTGAGGGTCTCCCAACTAGCTTGTTCAACTGGGGCATGGCTCTCTGTCACCCTCATGCCTGAGAATGACACCGTCCTCTCTCCCCTGGAATTCTGATATTCCCTCCAAATTCGATATGGACTGACCCCTGCATCCTGGCCTCCCTCTCTGCCCCCATCCTCCTCATAGCTCTCTCTAACCCATAGTAACTTTCCCATTACAATTACAACTCAAAGCTTCAGCAGATGAGACAAAGGAGGACGGAGGAAACCAAGGCGAATCAAGCCAAGGAAAACCCTCCTCTTGAGCATCGGCATTCATTGCCATGAGCTCACCATGCCGGTACATATAGTGACCAAAACTCGTCTAGGTAAACGGTAAACGATTTCCAAAAAGTGCAATGTCTTAAATTTATGGCTGTAAACGGCACGGTATGGTATGCGGTTTGGGCCGGCCTCATGAAGTACAACACATGAAAATCTCGTGTCACCGTTGATGCCCTTGACATCGTATACCTTTACCGTATCCGCACTTCAATTGGTGGGGCGGCTTTTATTCTTAAAAGTGCCACTCTACTAGGAAGGACAGACACTGTCTCCTGTCTACCTGGCAAACAGGTGCACCAACGTCAAGCTCCTTAGCCGAGGTGGATTGGCCCGTCGTGGCGTTTCTGGCTCCTTGACTGTTTGCGCTGCCTGTTTCCCTCTTTCATCTTTGAGGAAGTGACTTCCTTCGGAGTCCTCTTTGCGGCAAGCTCATCTCTTTCCTTTCGTTCCTTTGGAGTCCTCTTTGCGGCAAGCTCATCCTTTTGGTTTCGTTCCTTCGGAGTCCTCTTGGCGGCAAACTCATCCTTTTCCTTTGGTTTCTTCTCGGGCTTGTTCAAACACTTGACTTGTTTTTGGTACTGATAAATGCGCTGTCGAAATGTGTCCAACTTAGACTTTGAGTACACCTCCCTATACTGCCAGAGCTCCTTGGGTGTCCTTCTTTTGTGGAGCTCATGTTTGATGTCATAATGAAGTGTCTCCATAGCCTCAATCTCCACGTCAAATACAGGCTCACCTCTATGGTTGTGCGTTTGACGTGGGTAAAGGCGCCTGTCGTGCTTCATCCATTCTTCTTCCTGGGCTGATCTTGCTCTCCTTTGGGCAGCTTCAGCTTCCTTGATAGGCTCATTATATTTTGCTTTAAACTGCGAGAAAGGCACGTCACAAAAAATATACTTGTATCTTTCTGTGTAGTCATCAAATACGTCTTTTGCTTCTAAGCTGTTACCATAAAGCCGCCCTTCTGGTTCCAGGTCCTTTACAAGTATCTCTTTTGCTGCGCTGTTTTCCCAGTCAATGAATCCTGTCTTGTTCTTCTCCTTTGAAGCAGCCAACCTTTTTAGTGCCTTTCGCGGATTCTTCCTGTAGTCGTCCAAGTGCTTCTGGAGGGGCTCGGGTGACGTCATATTAGTCCTGGCTCGCTAAACATTTAGTCCCATAAACGGCTCGGACATCCGTGACCCGCAAAACCCGCACTCTAACCCGCACTGACCCGCACTCATGTGCGTCCAACCCGCACTAACCCGCACCCTCTCGTACCACCCGCAAATTGAAAGAAGGAGAGCACTATCTGGCCACTTGACAATGAGGCAAACACGATGAGGCAGATTGTGCCGTAAGCATCCTTGACCTAGCTATTACTATGTTAGCTACTGTTGTTGTAAGGTCCAATGACCCCCTTTCGACTGATGTCAGGGCGGTTCTTGATCTTGGTTTCATCTTTCTTGGCTGCTTTTGCAGCTGCTTGCATTGGGTTGTTTCCATAAGGTTTCACTGCTTCCCTCTTCTGATCAATCCGTTTGGTGAAGCGACGCAGTGTAAACCCGGAGGCTTTGTACAGATCTCTGAATTCAAAAAGCTCCTTTGGACTCATCTCTTCATGGAGGCCGTCAACCATATCTTTATCAAGTTGCTTGTCAGCTTCACTGTCCCGCCACAAGGGCTTTCCAGTTGGTCCATGACTCTGCTGGGGAAATTTCTGCCGGAATTCCAAGAGACACTCTCTATCTTTTTTGGCTGACCAATGGAGCCTCTTGACACCAAGCTGAAGCCGTTCAATACGTGCTCTGTAACGCTCTTCATCGAATGGAAAATCATTGAATTCTTCGCGATCAGAATATAGCTCTCGATAGAGCTTTTCAATGTCATTGATCTTCTCATCATATGATATGATCCCATCCATGAGATCTTGTATAATAAGGCGCTTGGCAGCGCTGTTGACCCATGTGGCATCATTGAGGACAGCAGGTGGCCGCTCCTCAGCATTCTTTTTTCGTCTCGGCATGATACAAAATTTGAGAGTCGAGAGGATGCGAACAACAACAATCAGCCTTCAATCCAACAACAGAGGATGCCAGTTCTTGGCGGTTGAAGGCTTTTATTGTCTTTGGCGCCTACATCTTCCGTGCTCGTTGGTGTCTGTTCCGAACACACTTAGCAAGGGGGAAAGGCTGACTCCAGCTTTCGAGTGAAGATAACTGAATTTTTCGAGATGATTTGAATTTCGATCATAGTTGACGAGCGCTATTTTCTTGCTCACAATCCAGCCACAATAATGGATCGAGAGCTCCGTGACAACGACTATCAACTTGATCTGGAGGACGACGAGGAATTTGGTGAAGCAACCAACCCTTACCCAACCAGCAGCAAAAAGCGATCGGTAAGTTGAGGTCGAGTTGGTTTTCTCTCGAAGCTTCGTCCTACATAATGGTCCGTCGGAAGTTCAAAGGATGCTACTGCCATCGAGAATGCGATGAAAATCTTCCAAAGCAATCAGTTGATCTTCAGACAAAGCTGTTTCTCATGGGGCATGTCTATAATGCTGGAGGGCCTCATGTATCATCCCGAGACAATCATTGGCTGCTGACTCTCTGCGAATCTTATGCTGACCAACTTGGATGTGATGATTCTCTCAAAAGGGAGCGTGTTGCCAACTTGATGGATCGATGGAAGCGAAGCAAGACGTCGTTCCTAGAAACTCGAGAGAAGCTGTTTGCAACTGCTGGAAAGTGTCAAATTGAAACGCCTGATCTCACACCTGTTCAATATTCTCCAACCACCGACCTCCATTCCTTTCCTTGGGAAACACAGTCATCCGCTCCTGATTCTGCCACTGCTGAGTGCACCAACGGTACTTGCCCACCACCAGAGAAGAAGAAGAGATCTGTCAAGAAAGCTTCGAAGCCCAAGCCCAAGCCAACCAAAACAGAATCGAAAGCAACAATCCAATCACCTCCGACAATCAAGAGAGAATCAACAACCAAAAAGATGAATGCAGCCATTGGAAGCCCCTTTCGTTTGAATCGTGGTGGTGATAGACGTGATCATACTGAGCGATACACTGTCGACTTTGACAATGAAGACCAGCATGGAGAGTTTCTTGTTGGCATGGTTACGGATGAACGCATTGACAAGAAGCAAGCACATTGTGTCATGATTGCCCGTCCCAATACAAAGCCATCGGAGCTAAAGTCTCTCAAGGCTCAGATCGTTGGCAAAGAGATTCACTTAACCGGACCAGCCAAGAGTAAGACTTACTTGGAGCATTCAGCCAAGTGGCTTGGCATTCTAAAAAGCAACCAGAAGAAATTCAAAGCGGAGAGACTCCACACTAGTATCACCAAGATGATTACGAAGTTCAAGCGCTCGGCT